TTTCCACCCAGGAAGTGGGTAAGCAGTTTGATAACAGGAAGCTTCCTTAAAAAGCAAAACAGCCGAACCCTCAGACCTGACAGTGAAGGGTCTAGAGTATTCTATTTCTTTGTGCACGTCTCAAGATAAACCTCAGACAACAGAGCGTCCCTCTAAATATGATAATATCAAATATGTCTATAGCATGAAGCAAAGCTCAATATTTGGTACCCATTTTTTCTTTGAGTTAACATTTACATAGGGTGAAACGCAGAAATCTGAATTCTGACAAATGCAGGCAAATCCTACACCTGGGTTTATCTAAGAATGACCGTGACGCCAATGGCATCTGTCCTAACTAAGCAGGGCGGATCTAGTCCCTCAGCGTGTTTCAAGGACTGTCAAGGAGAGAGTGTGGAGGGGAAGAAAGAACAAAGCTTTTCTTTGTTCACGGCCTATTGGCAGTGCCAGTTTGATGCCATGGTTACACTGCACTGTGAGCGGGGACCCATGGGAAGGGCTCCGTCAGGGTTGGCTCTGTCGTGGCTCTTATCAGTATGCCCCTCATCCCACGTCACATTGACCCACGGGAAGGGCTCCGTCGGGGTTGGCTCTGTCGTGGCTCCTATCAATATGCCCCTCATCCCACGGCAGTCCTTCACTATGTCTATTGGTCAGAACCCTGTGAGCGAAAGGTGAATGGCAGCAGGAACGCAGCGCCTCCAACTGTAGCTGAAGCAGTGCAAATGTGAACAGTGTCTGGGGACATGATGACCCAGTAAGACGACAGCTGGCTTATCTGTAGCTCCAACCCCAGGTTTCTTTGATGGCAAAGCCCACCTCTAGCCGGAAAAACAGGACGTGCCAATTTCGCCCATTTCTCTTATTGTGTGTGACATTGTCTGAGTATTTGTTTGTGTTAGGTCCAAAGCAGGGTTCCCAAAATGACACTACTGGTGGCAATGGCCTTAACAGGACTCTGACTGGGTAAACACAAGGGTTGTTACTAGAAAAACAGAAAAACCAAAACAGAGTAGGAAACCCTCTGCTTCCCTTCTCTAGCCCAAGTTCAGCTGCTTTGGGACAGCCCACTACTGATCAAAGCCCACATGCTAAATCCCAGGCTGTTCTGCAGCCTCCCCTGCCAAGCTACCTGTGCCCTTATAACTGACAAGACTTTCCCGACTGCTGACTGTTCTCTGACCCCAGCAGTATGATTTCCCAAACAAACTTTTCTTTCTGCTCATGGAGTGGTCTAGTTCAGTGGTTTTTCTGAACCCTCGAGTGCAGTTTGTATCCCCCAGATCTCACATGTGGACATGCACCCTTACCACACACGTGGCCATGTTAAGGCATAGGGCCTATGCTCTCACAGATGGGATTAGTGCCCTTAGAGTAGAAGCCCCTGGAGAGCTGCCTTCCGTGTGCAGTATGTGAGGGCAAGCAAGGCAGGCGCCATCTTTGAAGCAGAACAACCGCTCTCACCAGACACTGAATCTGATGATTGTTCTGGAATCCTCGCCTCCCACAATGCCGAGCGGTAGATTTCTATTGTTTCTAAGTTAAGTGGGGCTATATTTTGGATCTTGAATGCCCCCCAAAGTCCTATGTATTAAAGGCTTGGTCCCCAGACTGGTGTTTTGGGGAGGGGATGTAGCCTTTAAGTGGTAGGACCAAGTGGTGGGTCTTTTGATTATTTGGGGGAGGGTGTCCTCAAATGGCCCTTTGTTCTGTTTTGTTTTTTGCTGTTTGGCCATGAAGTGCGTGGTTTTCGTCTCCTCTCCTCCTGCTGTGACACAAGCCTACTTTCCTATAGGCTACAGCAACGGGTCAAACCAGTCAAGAACTGGAACCTCCGACGCTCCAAAGACCGAGAGCCAAAATAAACTTTTTGTTTTGTTAAGAGATTAGCTCAGGTCTTTTGTTACAGTGACGGAAACCTGAGTGGCACACACAAGAAACCATACCTTCTCATGACTGCCCATGGACTTGGACAAAGAGTGGTACCGAGAAGTGGCGTGCTCGGCTGTGAAGAAACACCCAAGAATGTGGAAGCGGTTTAGGAACGGGGTGCTAGGGAGAGGCTGGAAGTGTTGTGAAATGCATGTTGGACAAAAACGGAATCACAGACCCTGAGGGAGTTTCTTGTCAAGGCTCAGAGGCAGAGAGTGTCAGGGAAGCCTTCAGTCTTCTCAGGATCACATGAGAGCCCATGAACAGCATCAGGAACAGGAACACTGAAGGTCATTCTGGTGGCTTACCAGGTTGGAATGGGGAATAAGGTGACTGGAAACGGGTGGGGGGAGGGAGGTGGGTGTTGTTGAAGCGGCCTGAGACTGAGCCCGTCTGTGTCTCGGTGTTTTCAGAGGGACTGGACAATGACGAGGCCACTTGGCAGGTGGTGAGGAAAGGGCTGTGGGTTCAGCATCCTATCCTGACTGTTTGCAGTGAAAAGAAGATCTGGAACATTCTCAATCTGGCCATATTGTAAAGAATGAAAACACCAAAGAGGTATCCAGTAGACTGTTGATGGATTAGTTCTGCTAGATGCTACATCTTAGAACAATGGCAAACAACAAAGACAGTATCTCAGAGACCTGGTGGCGGGGCGGCGCTCTCCAGGCTAGGATGCTAGCTAGGGTCCTGGGCCTGGAATGGTTCCTTGCATTGTGGTTTAGCAGTCTGACTGCCCAGCTGTAGATAAAGCAGAACCAGGCACAGCTCAGGTCACCAATGAATGGCACAGTACGGATGCGGGCAAAGTGCATTCCCTCCATGCCTGGATACATCCCCCTCAGTTCCCGCAAAGTGCCATCTCCATGAATAGCGAAATGTGTTCCCTCCGTGCCTGGGTACGACCCCTTCAGTTTCAAAAGATGTCACAGATATCCTGAAGGCCAGACAGAGAACTACATGAGGGTGAAGGACAACAAAATCCTTGCTAAGACAAAGCCCCAGGCAGCCATGGGAGAGGGCCTTCCCAAGACATCCAGAGACACCATAGAGCACCTGTAAGACCACAACCTGTGCATGTATCCTACAAAGCCAGGAAGGTTGGGAGGGGAGGCTCCAGGAGAACAGGAAGCCTCTTAACTCCTGAGCCATCTCTCCAGCCCCATAATCTTGTTTGTTTATTTTTTCCTTTTCTTTTGGTTTTTCAAGACAAGGTTTCTCTGTATAATGTCCTGGAACTCACTCCATAGACTAGGCTGTCCTTGAACTCACAGAGATCCGCCTGCCTCTGCCTCCCCAGTGCTGGGATTAAAAGCCTGAGCTATTATTGCCTGACTTTTTGTTCATTTCTTACAGAAGACAAGACTGTCTCTATTATCAAGAGAACCATGGTGGTGCTGGAGACATAGCTCAGCAGTTAGGAGCACTGGCTCCTCTTCCAGAGGACCCGAGTTCGATTTCTAGCACCCACCTGGCAGCTCACAACTGTCTGTAACTTCAGTCCCTGGGGATCCAATGCTGTCTTCTAAGGGCACCGCACACACATAGTGCAGGCAAAATACCATTACACATAAGTATAATTTACAAAAAGGAAAGAAGTGTGGTTTTGCGATTTGTAGCATAAGTTTCTAAAACCACCAAGGTGGCCGATGAGGAGTTGCTTCAAAATGTCAAGGCAGCAGCATCTCAGTACCCTTAGGTAGTGAACTCGGATGCAGTGAATCTGTCTTCTGGTTTCTAGACTCCTCTGAGACAGTGGGTGTGTAGCTGGCCACTGGCTCGGGCTATCCTGCAGGGCTGGGATACACACGGAGTCCTCTGAGGCCTTAATATATTAAATTCTGTCATCCAAACTGGCAGTAGAAAACAGACTTATGACACGTACCCAGCTCAAAGTCTCAACAAAATTATAGATGTCCAAAATTTTTATTTTATTAAGCTGTTTGTTACATCTCCCTGTGTGTTCAACATTCAAAAAATATATTTATTAAGTGCTCTCTCTGTGCCAGGATTTGCTCTAGACACTGGGAAAACAGAAATTCGCTTCATAAGTCCTACCCTAAGGAGCCTTGGATTGGTTGCTTGCACATCGTCGTGACCCAGAGACTTGAGGGGACAACTTAGAGGAGAAAGGATTTCTTTTGGTTTGTGATTTTAGAGTGTTCAGAACATGGTCACCCGGCTTGTGTTTCTAGGCCTGTCGTGAGGCCAATGGCATGATGTATGAGCAGGCGGGAGAGGCTGCTTCACTACAGACTAACCGGAAGTAGGCGGCCCAAGAGAAACAGACAAGAGGGGGCCCCGGCAGAACACAGTCCTTGACAATACACCCCCGGCAACCACCACTTCCTTCAGCTAGCTCTCACCCCCTAACACTGCCAGACCCTCCCAAAATAACACCCCCAGCTGGGGAACAAATACTCAACACGTGAGCCCGTGGGGGACACTTTACGTTTTAAACCACGACAAGCCCCCAGAATAGGAAGAACAGAGTAAGTGTCCAATCATGTATGAAGGAAACCTCGCCTAGGGCCAAGGAGTTATGGAAACCTGCGGGAGTTAATTCATCATCCAGTTGATCGTTGGACATACTCATTGACCATCTGCGGCGTGCTAGGAACAGGGAAAACAATGGAGAGAAAGCCCAACCTTCTCTGACGTCACCTTTGGTCCAAGGGAAATGCAAGACCCCTGAGCAGACCGCTAGATGTTACAGATGCTAGAGTTTCGACGGGAAACACCTATGAAGGCCACCACTACATCCGGAACAGTGAGAAGGACGGCACAGTGCCCACATGTTGCATGGTAAGGATGGAGTGGTGCCTAAGAAGCAAAGGTGGGGAGGAATATCACGTAGAGCAGGTGCAAGAGAGCCCGTAGCAAAGGTATTTTCTCTTTCTTTCTTTCTTTCTTTCTTTCTTTTTTGGTTTTTCAAGACAGGGTTTCTCTGTGTAACTCACTCTGTAGACCAGGCTGGCCTCGAACTCACAGAGATCCATCTGACTCTGCCTCCTGAGTGCTGGGATTAAAGGCATGCACCACCACCGCCCAGCTAGCAAAGGTATTTTCAAACGAAGGAAACACACTGGGCAGGGTGGAGGTTGTAAGGAGGTGGTGAGCAAAAAGATAACAAAATCCTGACGAATCTTGTAAGGAGTTTAAGAGGGAAAGTTTACTTAAGAAAACCACCAGCTGCCGAACAGGGTTTTGGAGTGTGAGACACCAGAGACAAGGTACTGAACAGAGGCTCTTAAAGCTCTCTTTGGGAAGTGCTGGCCATGGCTGACCTCAGAGTAGTGATGGGACAGCGTAGTCCACAGGAAGTGGGGAACGCTGGCAATAAAGGATGTGAGAAAAGATGCTGATTTCTGCCCTCAGCCATGGGGAAAGTAACCCAGCACAAGAAGCCTGGGCGTGGGAATGTCTCCATGGAATGTGCTGGACTTGAGGGTCCTGTGGGATAATCAGACGGACGTAGCTGCAGGCTATGCAGCCTAGAACTGTAGAGGGTGCTCAGCTGGGGACTGCAGTGGGGGAGTCCTTAGGGCAGAGGAGGAGGCTCTGAGTCCTGCGGATGGTGGTGACGTCACTCGGGAACGCTTGGAGGAAGGTGAGAGATAACGCCCAGGAAAGATAGGGATGGAAAGGACAGCAATATAGACTAAGAGGTGTAGTAAGTTACAGAAAGGATGCTAAGCCCTGAACTCTCATCTTGAATAAGCTGCTTCCGGCTGGTGCTGTCTGAAGACTTTGGGGAAGCCTTCTTTTCCTGGCGCCGCCAGTAGAGCTGGAGGCGGAAGTCAGAAGGCCACTGTGTCCTTTGTTGACTGTTAAAAATACTGTCCAGAAACACACGAAATAAGCTTCTGTAAGAACTCGATTCTCTTTGATGAGTTTGGTCCACATTCTGTGAAGGTACTGGGGATTGGAGTGCGAGTGGGTGGGGTGGCTTCACAAGAACAAAACACACTTCCTTTCCTTCCAGACTCTCAGGGTGTGGTGACCTGTGTACCCCAAGAACCCTCAGCTATAATGACAAGCCACAGCCTCTAAGAGGTGCAGGAGTAGGTAGGGCCTGCAAGGAGAGAGGCAGACATCCAAGCCATGGTCTAGATAGGGAGGGTAGTTGGGAGGTTCCACTCACTCAAATACCAAGTCTTAAGATCCCTCAGACCCACATTTACCAAGGGAACAAAAGGGGACGTGGAAAAATGAGTCAATGTTCACAGGCCCAGTGGCCCACACTAAGGAAACAGCCTCCAGAGATGTGCGAGGGCTAGACCTCTGAGTCTCAGGCCAGAGCTTCTGGAGTATCAGAAACACCAGGAGCATCATCTGGAGCATCAGGGCGCATGGAGCGTCGGGAACGTCAAACTGTCCTGTCCTCTGCTGTAGCTCCTACGTAGGTGGCTTCCTCTGGGGGTTGGGAAGAGCCTGTGTTACAGTCCAGCCATTCTAGATTATTCTAAAATGAGCTATGTAAGCCCTTTTCAGCTTGCCAAGAAGGTGTGGTTGTTTTAGATTGCTGGTTTTCAGCGCCTGCTGGGATCTCAACATCGTCGTAGTCGTTTTCGGAGCCCGAGATGGAAAAGACCTTCTTGTTTCTAACTTTCCTCACTGATGAGTACCAAGCTAGTGACTGACTTGGCACTTCCTGTGGGGCTAAAGCGCAGAAACGGGGTCATTACAACGCAAGTTCTCTGAGCTTTGAGCCTGTTACAGACCTTCCCACTTCCTGGAAGGCCAGTTCCCCATTTCACAAATGGAAACCAGTCACAGACATGACACACATCTCAGGATCGCCCAAGTGCATGCCTGGCAAATGCTGGGCGGCTCTCCTGCCTCCCACCTCTCTGCTTTCAGAGCCTCACATCCAGGGAGCTATGATGCAAACACTTAGGAAACATACCACAGCCTGTTGCTAGGTGACCTCAGTTGTGTCCACAGATCTCAGATCACAAGGATCTGATGAGCTTGTAGCTGCATCCCTCCCCACACCCTAGGCTGCTCCCCAGAACCCTTTGCCATTGCTTACATGCAAATCTGCCCCCAAAGAAGGAAGGAAATGGGGTGTGTATGTGTGTGTGGGTTGTTTTCAAAGATAGAATCACTGCAGAATGAGTCCACAGCAGGAACGAGAAGGCTTGCCACTTTCATCTGTGGCTTGAGGATGATTCTCCTGAGGCTTGTGCGTTGGGGACTCGGTCACAAATGTGGTGTGTGTGTGTGTGTGTGTGTGTGTGTGTGTGTGTGAGGGCGAGCTCAGCCTTAACAGTTCCTACTGCTTTGCAGAGGTCCTGAGTTCAGTTCCCAGCAACTATATCAGGTGGCTCACATCCACCCCTAACTCCAGCCCCAGGAGACCCTGTGCCCTCTTCTGGACTCTGGACACGGTGCACATGTGGGCAGACACTCAAACACATATGAACACAAAACTAAAATAAGGAATTTTTTTGTTTTTGTTTTTGTTTTAAGAGATAGAGCCCATTAAGACGCGGTATGGGTCTTTCTCTTTGCTTTCTACTCTGTCCTACCACATGACTTCCCGCTGTCACATGGGCCACGGCCATGATGCCATGTTTGTCATGTGATGTAGCTTTCCAGTGCCATGCTGTGTGGACACTTCCACCCACGCTGCCAACAAAATAAGCCTCTCTTTAGGAAAGCTACCTAGCCTGGAGTATTTTGTTGCAGTAACAGAAAATGGATTAACACACTGACGAATAGCCTAGCTGCACCTATAATGAGAATCAGATTTGCCTGCACAATAATCTTATCTTCCTCCAAGGACACTGAAAAACCATTGCCTATAAAATGAGTTCATGTTTAGACTCCAGAGGTCAGTTAGTTTGGTGATCATGGGTAAGTCACTTAACTTCTCTGGGTCTCAGTATTGTCCTCTGTCCAAGGAGCAATGATAGCCTTCAGTTTCATAGAGCTATGCAGACTTAAACGAGGTCATGTCTAGCAGGGAGCCAGTCAAGGGAACCAGGAAACATTCAGGAATGGTGGGGCTCACCTGTAATCATTTTATTTATTTATTTTTTATTATTTTTTTTCCTAAGACAGGGTTTCTCTGTAGCTTTGTTCTCTGTCTTGGAACTAGCTCTTGAAGACTAGGCTGGCCTCAAACTCACAGAGATCCAGCTGCCTCTACTTCCTGAGTGCTGGGATTAAAGGCGTGCGCCATCACTGCCTGCTCACCTGTAATCATAACACTTGGGAAATGAAGGCAGTAGGAGGAGTTCAAGGTATCCTTGGCTGCTAGGGGAGTTTAAGGTCAGCCTGGGCTACATGAGACCCTGCATCAAAAAACAAAACGAAACGCTAAAAGGGACTGGGGAGACAGTTCAGTCTGCAAAGTACTTGCCATGCAAGCATGAGGACCCAAGGTTGATCCTCAGAACCCATGTCTGTCTGTCTGTCTGTCTCTCTGTCTATATGTGTGGTGGTCAGGGTGGCGCACAACTGTGTGGTGGTCAGGGAGGTGCACAGCTGTAATCCCAGGTTAGGACAGATCCCTGGGACTCATGGGCCTGCCCACCTCATCTGCTTGGTGAGTTCCAGTCAATGAAAGAGTTGGTCTTTTGTGACAGGGTTTCCCTGTGTAGCCCTGGCTGGCCCAGAACTCTTTCTGTAGACCAGGTTGGCCTCGAACTCACAGAGATCCCTCTGTCTCTGCCTCCTGAGTGCTGGAACTAAAGGTTTGGTCACCACTGCCTGACCACAAGACTTTTCTAAAAGAGGTGTGTGGTGCCCAGGAACCACAGCTGAGGGTTGTCCCTTGACTGTCACATGCCTATCACATGCATAGCATTCATTCTTTACAGCTGTACACACACACACACACACACACACACACACACACACACACACAAGTTAAAAACAAAAGCCACAGTCTGCAATAGGAAGAACCCTCCCTAGATACCCAAGTAGTTAAGGCCTTTATCTCAGAGTCCCAGGTTCCACAACCGCGAGAAAATAGTTGCCCCATTGTTGAAGCCGCCCAGCCTATAGTATCTCGTTAGTAAGCTAGACAAGGAGCTCCATATGTTCATTATCCTACCCAGAGTGAAGCTCTTATCAGTAAAATGTACTTACCAGGGTCTTCTAGAAAAGGCGAACCCCTGGGTGGCAGAGCAGGTAACTGCCCTGGTGATGGATTAAGAACATTCCTAGAGAGGGAGAGGGAGAGAGAGAGAGAGAGAGAGAGAGAGAGAGGGAGAGAGAGAGAGAGTCAGTGGTTGGTCTGAATCAAGCCTACTGCCAGCTGCTTTGTAAGGTATCAAGGCCAATGAATGGGTTGAAGATTCAGATCTCGATTCCTACACATTGGAAGCATTTCCTTCGCTTTCTAGATTCTGCATTCCGTTTCTGTCACCCCAGAGAAATAATTTCCTCCAGCCCAGGGGTGGGTGGGGATCGTCCTTAGAGCACAGCCTGCCTCCTCCTGTGTGACCACCACACATCAGGTGTATTTCAGTTTGCAAGACAGGTGGACTTCCTCCTGATGTTAAGTATCAACCCCGTGACCAGCAGCGCTACTGTGAATTTACCATGTATGTGTCCAGAATGTTCTGAGCAGAGCCGTTCACAACAGCACTGCTGTTACAGATGCTAAATGGCCCCCAAAGGCCCAGCTCCGTACTCTTGGAAAGGGGTAAAAAAATTTAGGAGTTGGGGCTTCGTGGGGAGTTTTCAAGTGACTGGAAGCATGAGTTCAAAGGTGGCTGTGGTTCCCCAAATCCCTTCCACCTCTCTTCACCCCTCCTCTTGTCCCTGGCTATGAGATGAGAGGTTTTATTCAATGGTGCACTCCCTCCTTGATGCACCGCCTCACCGCAGGCCCGAAGCAACAGGGCTAACCAATCCTGGACTAGAAATCGGAGAATGTGAGCCAAGAGAAACCTCTTCTCTTTCTGAGCTGATTGCCTCAGGCATTTGTTACACACAATTCACCACTCACTATCCCAGTGTCCACCCACAGGAGACGGGACAGACTGACCATAGCCTCCTCCTACAGTGGGATTCTCTACAGCAGGCAGAGCGAACAACCTACAACTACATTCACTGAGTCTGACCACAACAGCATTGACCTGGGGTTGCAGCTCAATAGTGGAGCCTGGATCACTATATGCGAGGCCCTGGGACTGAACTGACCCCCCAGAACTGAAAAAAAAATGAGCAAAAGATGCAAAACTCTGTGTGCTGTTCTGTTCATGTCAAGCACAAAACAAACAAACAACAAACACCTTGCTGATTCCTTCTGGCTAGTAGGAATTTGGGCCACCATGACTGAAAATAAGTGTCCATGGTGTTAACGCAATCCACTCTTGAGCTGGGCACTGTTACTGCTCAGTTCATGGGAAGTTGTTGAGCGGTGTGCTTCCTGGAAGCATTTTCCTGTAGCAATACCACACTTCTGTGGGACGTTTCCACTGCACCAGCAAGGCATTGGCCATCTGGCTGTGTGATACATAATTGACTTACTCATCAGTGGGATCAGACTGGGCAAGGAGAGCTTCTATTTGCTGGTCTCTTCAAACCCCAATAAAATACATTTTAGAATATATATATATATATATATATATATATATATATATATATATACATTTCTTTTGCGTAGCAAAGGTCAGCCATTGACTGAGTCCTGGGTGATCACCTCTCAGCTTTGACAACCACTGTGTTTATGAACCTGGAACTTTGGCTACTTCTTATGGTTATGCTCATCATTTATGGGGGATGCCTGCTTTTGCTTGTCTGGACCCTTGACTCCAGGAGGGGCTGGAGACTGCATAGCTTAAGTCAGTCATGGGCTATCACGATCCCTGTGTACCAAGGCTCAGCTGAGCAGCTCGGGTCTGTGATGAGCAGCTCAGTCTGTGATGAGCTGCCCGGGTCTGTGATGAGCAGCTTGGGTCTGTGATGAGCAGCTTGGGTCTGTGATGAGCAGCCCAGTCTGTGATGAGCTGCCCGGGTCTGTGATGAGCTGCCCGGGTCTGTGATGAGCAGCCTGGGTCTGTGATGAGCAGCCCAGGTCTATGATGAGCAGCCTGGGTCTGTGATCTGCTGCCCGGGTCTGTGATGTTTCACATGAGTTGGCACACATATTTACATACACATCTGCTGAGATCTGTCCTCAGGACTAGCAGGGAAGGACAGCTGGAGGCTTGTGTCTGGTTCCTCCTAGAGTCCATCTTATTTGGCTTTTTTCTTCTGCTGAGTTTATCTATTTTTGACTATATTAAACCGTAGCTGTGCTGGGCATGGTGGTGCATACCTTTGATCCCAGCACTCAGGAGGCTGAGGAAGATGGATCTCTGAGTTTGAGGCCAGCCTGGTCTATTTACTGAGTTCCAGGTTAGCCAGAGCTACATCGTAGAATCCTGTCTCAAACAAACAAAAGACTGTGTGAGTGAGACAACCTCTGGGTCCCATGAGTCCCTCTCGTGGATCCTTGCCCCTAACCTCAGCACAAACAACACTAAAAGAGTCCCAAACACATCACAAGAAGAAGTAAAGCTGGTGCTCGGGCTGGAGGATTCTGTTCCCAGCACCACATGATGGCTTACAGCTGTCCCTCACTCCAGGTTCTGGGGATCCAGATGCCATCCTTTTTGGGCATCAGACACACACATGGTGCATAGACATACATGTAGGTAAAACATTTATACTCATAAAAATAAATCTTTAAAGGGGGAAGCGAATGCTGGGCTTGCAGACAACTTTGTCAGAGGATCACACTTGCAATCTGCGTGAGGAAAAGAAGTATTCCTGAGCCTGCAACCCAAAGCCTAGCAGCAACGTCTGCCAGGATAGCTGCTCTCAGGGAGTCTCCTGCAGCGAATGCCAGAGGGGCGCTGCACCCACAGTGCCCCGGACCTCCCTCCTGCCGCAGATGAAGAATCCGTCTCACCAGCTCCACAGGAAAGGGCCTTTCAGACACACCAGAGCAATAGTGGAAGGGCCCTGGTGGCAGTGAGCAGACGGCTCCCAAAGCTGAACAGCAGGAATCGCCCCCACTTACTCATACATCTTCTCTTCGTCTCTCCCATCAGGTTTCCAGGGCTTGGCAATTGACCATTTCTTGCCTAAGGGGGGAAACCATAGTCACTCAGGGCACATCAGTGAAGGCTGTGACCTCAGCATTCTGAAGGCCTTGGAAAACCAGCAGATCCAGGATGTGTGGAAGGGAACTGCCAAGATGTAACAGACTTAGGAACACCTAGCTTTGAAGTGACGGAGCTGGCATCTGGACCCTGGCCATAAAGCCACAGAGCCTGGGTGGTGAACCAGGGCTGGCAACAGCCACATGGGCTGTTTCTGCATTGCTTCATGGCTTGATTGGCACTAGGTAGGTTGTGAATAGGCAGGAGTGGTTGGGAGGAAATGAACTAAGGAAGGGAAGAATAGTTTGGCTGTGATGTGCTGGGTGTGTGGATGGCTATTATGGTATTATTATTATTATTAATCAACTTGACTACATCTGGGATTAGCTAAAATGCCCAATATGACTGGTTATACCTGTGAGGGATTTTTGTTTAATGAGATCATGTGGAGTAGGAAGACCCACTTCTAACTCAGCTCTTTGAGGTGGGACGGCCCATCTCTACTCTGGGTCACACCTTCCGCTAGCAGCCTACATAAAGGACATGGAAGAAGGAAGCCTTGCTCTCTGTCTGCTTGCTCTTGCTTTCACTGGCAAATCCATTCCTTCACTGACATTAGCGCCTGCTTCCTCAGGATCCCAGCACGTACTGAGACCAGCTGAGACATCCAGCCTTGTGGACTGAACAGTTACTGGACTCCTGGACTTTCCCTTCATCGTCAGCCATTGTTGGACTAGCTGAAGCACTGTAAGCCATTCTACTAAATCCCCTTTCTCTCTATAGACATAGAGAGATTCATTCTACAAGTTATATTCCCCCAGAGAACCCGTGCTGAAGCAGTGTGTATATTATTATTTGCCATAACCTACTGTTAACAGAGGTCAGTACAGATAAAAGTGGGAAAATAGGGGTTTTTGTCAAGGGTCATGTTTTTGTTCATATCTGAGAATGAAAGGTTTAACATTTTTTAGCTCATTATTTATTTATGTGTGTGCATACACATGTTCATATCACATGTGTGGAGGTCAGAGGGCAACTTTGGGGACTCAGTTCTTTCTTTTCAGCAGGAGTCCTGGGGATCAAACTCAGATTTTTGGCTTAGTGGAAATTGACTTTACCTGCTGAGCCGCCTCACTGGCCTAAAAGAATAAAATGGATACACAGGGCATAATTGCACACATCTGTAATCTCAGCACTTGAGAGGCAGAGGCAGGAGGATCAGGGGTTCAAGCACAGCCTGGACCATATGAGATTCTGTCTCAAAAAACAAAGCAAACAAAAAAATAATTAAAAGGCAATGGATAGGGGAGTTGTATGAGCCTCAAACACCCTCCTTAAAAATTATATTAATTGTATAAAGTAATGCAGTTCAAAGTAAATACACCCCCTTTTTATTAAAAAATCATTACTTAATGGGTAGTGAGAAAAGATCAAATTGGGAACCCAGGACACTTGAGATCTGATACCAGTTCTGCCACCAACACCTGGAAAACCTCCGTGAAGGCTCGGCCTCCCTCTGGGCTTCTTCTCAGCTCTAAAAGAGAGGTTGGAAACCAAACCAAAAAGACTTCTCTTCTGTGCAGCCTTGCGTCCTTAAGCAGCTGCCTGAAGGACAGGGCCCTGATCACTTAGAGAGGAGTGTGCACCAGGGCACCCTGTGCACTGTATACCATCCCTGGGCACGCTCCTGGCTTAGCCCACATTTTACTTTTCTTTTAAAGGACTAGGATCTCAAGGGACCATGCCACTGACTGGGGTTCATGTTTCAGGAGATAAACAGCAAACTGGAAAACCCACTTACAGATAATCTAAAGTCGCTGTTAATATCCAAGCAGTCACTTTGTCTGAGGAGGCCAAAAACTTCTGGTCAAGTTGGAGATACGAGCAGAAAACAGCTCTTAGAGAGACAAGGCAGTCGTGGTGGCAAAACACGTTCATCGCAGATCGCATCTACGTCTTTTTTTTTTTTTTTTTGGTTTTTCGAGACAGAGTTTCTCTGTAGCTTTGGTACCCGTCCCGGAACTAGCTCTTGTAGACCAGGCTGGCCTCGAACTCCCAGAGATCCGCCTGCCTCTGCCTCCCGAGTGCTGGGATTAAAGGCGTGCGCCACCACCGCCCGGCCTTTGCATCTGTGTCTTAACGCATGCTCGAGACGGTTGACTTTCTACAGACTTCTGTTTGTTCCCTTCTGAGCCCCACAGAAAAGATGACATCAGCGCCAGGCAGAAACAGGGTTCCAGCCCCAGTGCCTGGAGACAGACTGTCTGCCGCTGCCTCTGCTATTACCCAAATCCTCTGACAAGGTCTTGGGAGATAAATCTACCCACTCCCCTTCACTACACAGATGAGAAACTGAGGCCCAGGACAGAGGTCAGTGGCGTGGCTAGAAACCACAACCAAAGTGCGTGATGCTCTGTCTAAGCTTAGCCCTCGCACGCCCAGGAGGATCCGAGCTCCGCTGTACTGACATCACCTGCCCCACCTCCACCTGCCCAGGGAAGATGGCCATCGTTACCTTGTCTAAACTGCCTCCTGCAGACAAAGTACAGGATGAGACCCAGGACCAAGGAGACAACGATAATGGCCACGGCCAAGAGGATCCAGAAATTGTCCCTCCACCAACTCATTGCTGCGGAAGCCTAAGGAGAACAGAGACGGAGGCATGAGGCACGAGGGGAAAGCCTGCAGGGGGCGCTGTCACCCTCCGTGTTTCCTGACACATCTGCTGAGGAATCAGATAGTCAAACCTTACAGACAATGCCTTAGTAGGCTGCAGGCCAGTCACTCATCTTCTGAGTTGTGACAGTACCACCTGCCACAGGGGACTGATGGTGCCAATTTCTTCATGGGAGTTTGATGTTTAGCTGTAAGTCACTCCAGAAACAGAGGGCACAAGACACAGCAGAGGGGAGATGTACCCCTGCCAGCAGTCCTCAGCTGCAGCTCTTTATGCCACAAAGACAGGAGACACTTTTTTGTTGTGAGGATGGGCTTGGGGAAAACAGCCTGATGGGTGCTATGACTTGAATGTGGTTTGCTCCACTGGAGCTCATGCTGGGCCTCGGTTACCATGACACAGAATTGAGAAGTGGTGAGAGGTTTGGTTTTTTTTTTTTAATTATTTGGTATGTAGGAGTGTTTTGGTTATATGTATCTCTGTGTACCACATGTGTTCCTGGTGTCCATGGAGCCAGAGAAGAGTGTCAGAGCCTCTGGAATTGGAGTTTTGGACAGTGAGCTGCCATGTGGGTGCTGGGAGTCAAACCCTGAACCCCAGGAAGAGTGGCTGGTGCTTTTAACAGCTCAGCCATTTCTCCAACCCCCGGGATAGTGGAACTTCTTTTCTTTTCTTTTCTTTTCCTTCTTTCTTTCTTTCTTTCTTTCTCTTCCTTCCTTTCTTCCTTCCTTCCTTCCTTCTTTTCTTCTTTCCTTCCTTCCATTCTTTCTTGTCTTTCTCTCATTAAGTTTCTCCAAAAGTCACACACAGCTGCACTTAGAATGACAGAGACTGATATGGGAGACGAGGGTTGAACACTGTTGTGTTAGAGACTGGGTAAAAGGAGAGAGGGTGGCCAGGGGCCATCATTCTCATTGTCAACTCTCTATGCTACCTGACTTTTGAACTATTTGTATCCACTCTGATAAAATGGAGGTAGAAGAGAGAGAGAGAGAGAGAGAGAGAGAGAGAGAGAGGAGAGAGAGAGAGCAATCACCATGTAGTGTGTTTCCATTGGAAACCATTGTTTAAGTCTCAAAATTAAATAAATTGCATTTTCACTAGACTCTTGGGAAAGACAGAGGGAGAATGATGTTTCCAGGAAGTGAAACCATGGACCATTTCAGAGCAGCTCAGGGGCTAAAGGTTTTCCTTTCTTCTTAGAAATGAAACTGGATTTGCCATCCATGTTTCTAGTGTGTCCAGGGCCCTGAAAGTCTGGGAAATGCATTCCCACCTCTCTCTTCATCCTCAGCCCTCACCCTGATCTCCAGATGGGGAGCAAAGATCAAGTGAAGGGACCTTCCCAAGGTCACCCAGAATGGCCAGAATGCTCTCTGTGTGTCACAGGGCCTCCATCTGGTGATAATAATGTCTCGAGTCACCGTGGAATGGCCAATGGAGTTCACACACCCTGCTTTAGAAGGAGAACCGCTGGCTGTGATGTGGTAGCAGCAATTCCCCAGAGCGGATGTTCAGTGCCCACCATGGATAATGCTCTGCAGTCACCCCCTCCTCCGTGAACTGTGGAGGGACACCTTCTCACCCCCCTCCTCCGTGAACTGTGGAGGGACACCTTCTCACCCCCCTCCTCCGGGGACTGTGGAGGGACGCTTTCTCATCCCTTCCTCCATGGACCGTGGAGGGATGCCTTCTCATCCCCTCCTCCACGGACTGTGAAGGGACACTTTCTCACCCCCCTATTCCATGGACCGTGGAGGGATGCTTTCTCACTCCCTCCTCCGGGGACTGTGGAGAAACACCTTCCCATCCCCTCCTCCGTGGACTGTAGAGAGATGTTTTTCCAATGGACAGAGTAATTTGTCAAGTTGAGAGAGATCAAAGAGAATCACATTGCATTTCCAGTCTGATGTCACCTGAGACCACCAGGCTAGTTCAATAGTTAAGGTGCTTCCAGACAGGAGAATGTTCTGCGGAGGAGATATATGGAGGTTACATGCATGGGGGTGGGGGGTGGGAGGAGGTAGAGGCGGGGTGGGGGTGGTGCAGGCCCTGGAAAGAGAGAGAAACCGAATCTTACTCTGGTCACAGCAAGAGGCCAAGCGGTAGATAAGACTCTAGGTTGCAGGATTGCTGAGTGTGGGACAAATCCGGGCCTGCCTGATAGGATTGCCCAAGGCTGTGGCCACAACTCCCAGAGGACAATAGACTTCTCAAGGGCAGCCTATTGGAGAGGCTGGGCCAGGGGCATGACTTGAACCCAGAAGGCTGGGGCCAGCCTGGGCAGCAGAAGGAGACTATGCATCTTTAAAAGATGGTATAATGCTGGGTGGAGAGAAGTGGTTAAGGGCACTGGCTGCTCTTCTAGAGGCCTGGGTTCCATTTCCAGCACCCACATGGCTGACTCCGTTCCAGCAAATCCAGTGCCTTCTGGTCTCTGCAGACACTGTACATACATGATGCACGCATGTCGGTGCTGGTAAACAGTCATACACATACAATAAAAGTTTAAAAATTCACCTTTCAGTTCTGGAGGTCAGCAGCTCATGAATATCTCACTTGTCAGTCTAAAACCAAAGGACTGTCTATGGCCTTGGGTTTCAGAGGCTCTAGGAGAGAATCCATTTTCTTATCTCTTTGGCTTCTAGGAGCCACTCACAGTCCTTGGCTGGTGACCGTCTTCTTCTCTTCAAAGCCAGCCCTGTCCCATGCTCTGATCATTCTTCTGCTGTCCCATCTCCCTCCAAGCTCTTCCGCTGCCTTTCTTCCCTGTGCAGGGACTCTTGAGATTACACTGACTCCGTTCTCTGACTCAGGATGATTTCCACACCTCACTCAGCTGATTAGAAGCCTTGATTCCCATTTACTATGAACTCTGGCATAACCACGTGCTGTGGGATAACCCCTCTGTATGCTGTGAATATATTGTTATTACCATTGGTTAATAAAGAAGTTGCTTTGGCTTATAGCCAGGCAGGATAGAGTCAGATGGAAAATCCAAGCAGAGATACAGGGAGAAGAAGGGTGGAGCTGGAGAGATGCCAGGGAGCCACTGGAGCAACAAGATATACCAGAAAACTGGTAACACCATGAAGTCAGGTGGCAAAATATAGATTAATAGAAACCGGTTAATTTAAGTGGCAAGAGCTAGTTAGTAATAAGCCTGAGCAATAGGCAGAATGGTTTGTAACTAATATTAAACCTCTGAGCGATTATTTTAAAAGTGGCTCTGCTGGACCAGGCGGGACAGAAAAGCCTCCATCTACATTTTCTCTGTATCAGGATGAGTTCTACGTCTTGGTCAGCTAATTAGACGTCTTGATTCCCATTGGCTATGAGCTCTGGTGTAATCAGGGTCTGGGCATTTGGATGTGGGCATTTTGAGGAAGGCAAGGGTTATGACACAGATGACGCCATGCTCACTCCTCTTGAATTAAATCGGATCCGTGGGCTTATATTGCTACATTTCAAAAATATCTTCCCATCTTTGTGACAGCTCAAGAAGGAGTTTGGGAAATGGCGGGCTGATTCTGTCATCTTTGGTGAGAAGTCAGTCGCTTGGTGCTGGTGTTGTCACGCTGGCCACGGAGCAGCAGGGTCTCTCTCTCAGGCTACCACATGATGGCAGGAGAGGTCCTCAAAGCAGGACTCGTGCTTGGGATAAAGCAGGGTTCTCAGAGCCAAAGTGGGGTCCAGAATGAGCTTAGCCCAGGAGAGCAGAACAGTAGGACCAATGCTGGTCTCACTCTGACCCAAATCCACAGATGCTGACGACGCGCATGTGAACCAGAGTATGTGTGACGTGGGTAGAGAAGACGGCTCTGCATAAGATCATGTACGACGCGCACGTGAACCAGAGTATGTGTGACGTGGGTAGAGAAGACGGCTCTGCATAAGATCCTGTACATTTCCCACCGGCTCACACTTGACATCACCTGTTGTACTCACAACACTGTTAGAACACTGCAGACAGCGCTACACTGTGTTGTTGAGGGGACAATGGCAAGGAGTAAAGAGTGTATATGTTCCACACACAGGCGTTTGGTGTTTTGGAAAACCTTCAATCCTCTGTTGGCTGTATCCATCGATGTGGAACCTGTGACCAGAGAGATGACCACATTTCCGCTTCACAGAAGAGGAAGCAGAACTCAGGTTAAGAAACTTGCGAACTGGCAACCTGAGATTCCAGCTCAGACACCAGAGTGTGGACTCTGTTTCCTCTGCCACCTTGACATGAAACCCACAAAATCCTTCTCTTCATAACAGAACCGAAAGCAGAACCATCGCTAAAATTTTCCAAAATTCGCAAGACTTCAGGGTCTCACTGCAGCTCGCTGCCCATAAAGGGAACCTCAGTATGGGGACACTTAGAATACCCAACTGTAGCCAGGTGTGGCGGTGCACGCCTTTGATCCTTGCACTCGGGAGGTAGAGGCCAGTGGGGCTCTGTGAGTTCAAGCCCAGCCTGCTCTACATATTGAGCTCCAGGTCAGCCGGGACTACATAGTGAGACCGTGCTGACTTTCCATGAGTTTCATTACTCTACATGCCGCAACATGTGTAATCCTCGCAATAGCTCCACATGCTAAGTACTCATCACCATTATCCCATTTTACGGGTTAGAAAATAAAGGCCTGGGAGAGCTTAGCAAGACTGCAGAGCAAATAAGTGAAGCCAAAGCCAAGTTCGTCGGACTCTAGGGCCTTAACTTTTGACCACTAAGTCTGGACATCTCAGAAACTTTGGATTGCCTGGGACCTTTTGAAGATGTGTTTAACTATAAGGTCTCCTGGACCTGCTCCACTTTCAATTCTGACCTGTGGCGCTGGAATGAGAATCTGTATCAGCATATTCGACAGGCCATCTAGAAGGTTCTCTGGCCTCAGCGGTCGGCAGGGTGCCTATTCCCGGGAGCTGCTCTAGGTGGCGGCAGCAGGAGCTGGATGGGATGAAAGATCTTGA